GTTGGCTAGAGAAAATAATGCAATAATCAACATGATTATGCTGGTAGCTTCAGTGTGGCCTTGTTTCTGCTCTATTAGATAAATGACCATAAGTGAAATTGCTGTATCATAGGTAGGTAGCTCTCTATTCAGTTCTGTGAGCAATTTCCATAGTGTTTTCCAAAGTGATTGAACAAGATTACATTCCCCCCAACAGTGTAATAGAGTTTCCTTTGGGCCACATCCTTATCAGTATCTGTGATTGTTTGTTTGTTCATAATGACCTTGTAAGAGGGGTGAGATGAATCTCAGTGTTGCTTGGATTTGCATTTCTTTTATGGAGAATGATGCGTCAATTTGTCATTCTTATTTCTTCTTCTAAGAAGTTATCTTTAAGACTTTATCCCATATATTAATTGGGTTCTTGTTTATTTGAGGGTTTATTTTTGTTGGGTTTAACTTTTTGATCTCTAAATATGGGTTTGTTATGAAAACTCTTGTCTAATGCTTAGCTAGTAAAAATCTTCCATTCTGCTCTTTTTCTATATATCCTGTTAACTTTTTCCATTGCCATGTAGAAACTCTTCAGTATGATGCGATTCTATTGATCCAGAAAGAATGACATTACGACATTCATAAGGAAATGGAAAGACTTGGAACAAACTTACATTAAGTGAAGAAAGACAGACTCAAAGTAATATACATTGCCTAATTTCTCTCATTTGTTGTAGTAGAATGTACCTCTAATTCTACAAGTAAACACAGTTGGATGGTAAAAAAGAAAACATTGCACTTGGACTAAGGCCAATGTTGTCTCCTGTATGTTCATGTTGTACATTACAACTCTATACCTGGTCATAATGTATATCTAGTATCTTATGCATAAATGCCCCAGAAGTTCCACTTTGCTTTACTTAAAAAAAAATTCTGTCTTAATGTTTGCGGATTTTGTGTGTGTATGTGTGTGTGTGTGTGTGTGTGTGTGTGTGTGTGTGTTTCCAAAGATCAGAACATAACATTTTTCTTCATTTCGAATACATCTTTCAGGTCATTGTAAGTTGTGGCTAATGGGAGAAGTCTCGTTAATTTAAGGATGAAACAAAAAGATATTTCTGCATCTACCAGAGTTGCTTTATTAGTGTAGTTGAACACTGAACTTCGATTTATATCTTGGCTGTTGTTGTGAATAATGTGAATAACAATGAACTACAGATATAATTACGAGTTACCCAGAGAGAAATAATCACATGATAGGTGGATCAGATGATATTTCAACTATGATTTCTTTAGAAAACTGCATACTACTTTCTACAAGGAGAATATTAACCTGTATTTTGATCAAGAGTGTAGAAAATTTCCTTTTCTTCACACTCTCACCAACATTATTACCTTTTATTCAAAAAGTAATAAAGGGCAAGTTTTTACTATCTTCACTACCCCAGACTCGCTTAAGACTGAAATCCAACCTCCTAAATGCTTGGAATTACATACCTTTACCACCACACCTGGTTCCTTTGATTTTTTTTTAATAAGAGTTCTAATAGTTATGAAGTAGTATCATAGTAATTTTGAATTACATTTCTCTAATGACTTCTGCTCACAAAGCATTAAGCCAGCACAGAAGTTGTATTAAACACAACTGTGTAAACCCACTGGTATAGAGGGCTTTATGGAAAGCATGTCTATTTGAACTTTTGTCCATTTTTAATCAAGTGTCTTGTTAATCTCATCTTTAATCTCTCTATACAAAAATAATTAATTCAAGGTAGTAAAAAGGAAAAAATTAAGCAACTTCTAACATTTTTCAATTTTTAATAACATGATATTGCTTAAATCATTTGCTGTTTATGCTTGAGACTATATAACAATTTAGTTAGACCTTTTACATAGCTATATGCATTTTATTTATTTTACATTTATTGCTCTTTCCAAAGCTTGCGTGTCTAATTTTGGTTTCTTTCAGTCTTAAGTTGTTCAGATTTCAAACTGAAGAATAAATGGAAGTAAGCAAACAAAAAATACAGTTCCTCTCATCTGATTATACCTCTACAAGAATGAGAAAGAGTTCAGCATCCTAAGGACCCTTAATTCTTAAGATAACATTTGCTATAATGCCAATGTTATTACCATTTTAGTGCTGGGAAAAATTGTAATTAAAGGCAGTAAGTGCATGGCCCAAGACACACAGTGAGGAAGGAAATGAGTCAAATTTTCCAAAAGTCTTTCAGCAATACACAACAAGTAGATAAATTCTCTCCATTCTCTGATAATCTCAATTCAATATTCATATTGTCCAAGAAATAATAGCATAGCAATTATTGCCCATGGTGATTGTTTTCTGTTACATTTTTCTTCAAAACAGACTGTGTTGGTGACATTGGATTATCATGCACAGAGCTGAGCTTATAAATTATGGTCCAAAAAGAGGCAAATTTCTTCTGTCCCATAGTTCCAGTATCATTTTTAAAAAGTATTAAATCTTTTAAATATCATCACTTACTGTATTTTAAGAATTCAAGAATGAAAAAAATCACATATAATCAATCCAAAATGCTTTAAAACTAGGAGATGATAAAACAGGCCTCTGTGAAGTAAATTTTCTTCTACTTTTAAAATTGTTCTGAGAGCCTTGTGCTGGTTTGTCACACCTGTAATCCGAACTACTCGGGATACCTACTAAGGAGCCTGAGATCTGTGGATATCATTTGGAAGCCAATCAGGGCAAAATAAATTTATGAGATTATTTTTCCAAAAATTTAAAGAACTAACAAAGGGCCAGGAATGGAGATGTAGCTCATATAGTAGCTCACCAATCTAGAGAGAAAGACATAGCGAGACCACAAAGCCCTAATTTCAAACTCTGAGCATGCCAACACGCAGGAATGCACACACACTCACTTTTTCAAAATATCTTCATATCAGTGTTTTGCATTAATTTCTTTGTTAACGATATTATATGGGTAAAATAGGCAAAATAAACTTCCATCTCAAAACATTTTTATACATTTTTTGTTGTAAAAATACTGTACAGAGGGGTTATAGTTACATGAGCATAGTAATAAGTACATTTCCTATCAAGCATTGTTACCTCCTCCTTTGTTTTTCCCCCACCATTCCTTCCCTTCCACCTCCACAAGTACACTCCTCACACCCGCAAGCCCCACCCAATGTCCCCAGCCTAAATTGTAAAGTTCGTTCTTCAAAATAATGTCTTGTGCATCTATTGTTATACAATGGGTCAAAATGTATTCCTATTTAAGTATGTTGTTTTTTCCCTTTCCTTCCCCAAATTAGAGAAGTGTATATACAAGATGCAGGTGCACCAAATCAAATAAAGTGAAAATAGGGGTTATATTGTTGGGGAGGAATGTATAAAAAACAAAAAAAAAAAATCACGTCGCACATTATAAATATGTGAGAAACAACAGCAAGAAAGAAAAAACCACTTGCGGCTCTATCTTGAGGGTCATATAGCTTAACATCTACTTATCTAGTCATATACACATAGCTTTTCAACTTTTCTGCTCATCCCAGACATATACTAGTTATTGCAAATAAGGGATACCATGGGAACTATGTTTCTTTGGACTTGGCTTACATCAGTTAATATAATTTTTTTCCAAGTCTTTCCATTTCCTAAAAATTGGGCGATGTCATTCTTTCTGATGGAGGCATAGAATTAATATATATACACATATATATGTATATATATAGTATATGTGTGTGTGTGTGTGTACACACATATACACAGAGAACATTTTAGTTTTTTGTTTTTTAGAGCAACATAGTTTTCCATCTTCATCATTTTTTCAAATGTTTTTCTTGTGATTAAGTGGTTACATAATTTCCCAAATTTCACAATATTGTGGGATAGTGATGCTTAGTTAAAGTCACAAACATATTCTAACTTTGATGAAGCAAATTGTCTATCATGGTCTACAACACTTATGAGTTCTATGAGCTTTGCAATAGAGTTATTTCTTCCATATGTATACTTTTTTTGTTTGGAAATATGTATATTTCTTTTGTTTTGCATAGCGTCTGCTGTTCCCTCTTTCCCACTTGTTCCCTCCCTCCCTTCAGTGACATTGAGTTGCTTAGTTCATTTTGGTCAATGTCCAGTGCAGCTGATGGATACCACTGTTGTATGTTTTTCCCTGATTCCCTCTAGTTCTGTGTCGTCCTCCTGGTTTCCCTTCAGTGTGCACATATTATCAGCAGAATGGGGTTATTTAGTAGTGATTCAATCAGATGAGTGGAAGTCCTTGATTTCTTAAGTGTTGTTAATTTTGTTGTATCACCTTACATTTTGGATTTAACATCCACTTACCATGGAGACCATGTGGTTTGTCTCTTGCTTTTGTCTTACCTCGCTCAACATGATTTCCTGTAGCTTGATTGATTTCCCTGCTAATGCCATTATTTTGTCCTTTCTAATGGCTGGAAAATATTCTGTTGTGTATAGTTACAACAGTTTTTGGATCCATTCATCTCTGGTGGGACATATGGGTTGTTTTCCTATCCTGGCTATTGTGAACAGTGCTACAATAAACATGGAGGTGCATGTGTCCTTGAATATTGGTAACTGTTGTTCAGGATAGATGCCTAGAAGTGGTATGAGTAGGCCATAAGGAAGGTCAATAATTAGCTTTCTGAGGACTCACCAGACTGCTTTCCAAAGTGATTGTGCAAGTGTACATTCACACACACACACACACACACACACACACACACACACAGAAAACGTTTTCTTGATCCATTCTTCTACTGAGTGGTATCGGGGTTGGTTGCCTATCTTAGCTATGGCAAATAATTCTACAATAAACATTGTTGTGGTGGTAGTTTTAGTATGGACTTGTTTGTGATCATTTGGGTGAATGCCCAAAAGTGGGATTGCTGTGTAATAGGAGAGCTCTATGTGGAGTCTTTTGAGGAACCTCCAAACCGCTTTCCAAAGTGAATGAACAAGTTTACACTCCCACCAAGAATGCAGTAGGCTTCCCTTCTGGCCACATCCCTTCCAGCATCTGTTGGTGTAAACATATTTAACTATTCATCCTTGTGCAGGGACCAAGTTAATCTTCTCTGTATGTTCCAATTTTAGTATATGTGCAGCCAAATTGAGCACAGAACATTTTTTTTTCTGTTCCTATGGTGTTTTTTTATTTATTTATTTATTTATTTTTTTATTGTAAAGCTACTATACAGAGGGTTACAGTTACATGAGTGAGGTAATGAGTACACTTCCTCTTGAACATTGTTACCCCCTCCATTGTTTTCCCCCTACCATCCCCTCCCTCCCTCCCTTGCCCGAGGTTCTTTTTTTTTAAAAAAAAATTTTATTTTATTTTATTTGAGAACATACTGTACAGAGGGGTTACAATTACATGGGCAGGAAAATGCATACATTTCTTACCAAGCATTGCAGCCTCCTCCATTATTTACCCTTCACCTCCCTTTCCAGCCTCCCCCCTCCCCCGCACCCAATCATACCCCCCCCACCGACATTGTAAAGCTGGTTTTGACATGACATTTTGTACTTCTCATTGTTGCAACAGGTCCACCTGAATCCTTAAACGACTTGTTTGTCCCCGTCTCCTCCACATGTTATACTGACATCAAATATAGTGAAAGCGGGGGTTACACTGTGGGGGAGGGACATACAAAGCAACAAAGAAATAATATTATAAATGCGTTAGAAACACATGCATGAAAGAAACAAAAACATTAAAATACATATTTGAGGGTTCGTTTTCCTAACATCACCTTCTCTGACTTTTTCTGCTTGACTCATACCTATACTAGATATTGCAAATAAGGGAAACCATGGGACCTATGTTTCTTTGGGCCTGGCTTACTTCACTTAATATAATTTTTTCCAAGCCTTTCCATTTCCTAACAAATGGGGCAATGCCATTCTTTCTGATGGAGGCATAGAATTCCATTGTGTATATATACCACATCTTCTTGATCCATTCATCTACTGAGGGGCATCTGGGTTGGTTCCATATCTTAGCTATGGTAAATAATGCTGCAATAAACATAGTTGTGCTGGTAGCTTTAGTGTGGCCTTGTTTGTGATCATTTGGGTAAATGCCCAAAAGTGGGATTGCTGGGTCATTGGGGAGCTCTATGTGGAGTCTTTTGAGGAACCTCCATACTGCTTTCCAAAGTGGTTGAACAAGTTTACATTCCCACCAACAATGAAGTAAGGTTCCTTTCTGTCCACATCCCCTCCAGCATCTGTTGTTGTTAGAGTTCTTGATTTTTGCTGTTCTAACTGGAGTGAGGTGATATCTCAATGTTGTTTTGATTTGCATTTCTTTTATGGCTAGGGATGTTGAACATTTCTTCATGTGTCTATTGGCCATCCTTCTTTCATTTTTTTATATATAAAGTGTAATTGATTTTCTTAAACGAGACAATTCAACAACAAGTAAGTTCAAAAGAATTGTGAAATTTTGCAACCATGTATTTCTTACATAAGCACACATTTAACAATAAAGTCAAGATTGACATGCCAAAAACAAAATAATTTCAGATATTTGTTGTTCATGAGATGTGTAGGAGGAGGAATTCAATTATTCTACACAAGGCACCTGTCATAATGATCATTGCAGCAAATGTTAAGCTTTGTTAAAAGTTTTAATGTTTTAAATATCTTTCATTTTGGGATTTACTTATATGGCAAAATTAAGACTGTTTGGCAGGTCATAAAATTTTCCGATAAAGTATATAGTATTTCTGGTATCATGTACTAGTATGTATGTACATTTCAGAGTTTATAGAAACTTTACTAATGAGAAGTTGCAAAGACTGTGTAAAGAAGTAGAGTGAAGAGTTAAGATTTTAAGTACACAGTTTCTCTTAAATCTTTAGGGCTCCCTTACGTTATGTGTTAGTGATGAACAAATAATGATATAAGCCACATACAAATGATGAGATGAACTATAAATAGTAACCTTATTGGGTAAATTTAAAGGCTACTCATAGCTTTATCCAGTTTTAAATGTACAGGAATATGAGAAAATAGTAAAACCTACTATATACTCTTCAAATAATCAGAGCCTTGGTAATTGTTTTGTTTTTATTTTAGTAATCATTAATATATAATTATTGTTTTCTTTATTAATAGCATTTTTTCCTTGTTGTAATATAATACAACTTTTTGTGAGTCGTGATTAAGAGGTACTTTGAGAATATTATTGGGATGGCCACACCATTTTTCATAGGTCCAAGTAAATTTAGAAAGAGCAAAACTAAAAATAAAATATTGATTAAAAATTATATCAAGTAGAGTCTGAATCAGGAGTGTTGATAAATATCCATACCTAAAATTTTATCCCTAGTCTGAAGTAGTAGTATTACAGAGTTGAGGCCACAAAATTGAGAAACTGTGCTTTGTTTTGCTTTGTTTTTTGCTTTGGTTTTGTTGGTTGTGGGGCTTGAACTCTGGGTATTGGGTACTGTCCCTCAGCTCTTCAGCTCAAGGCTAGCATTATCACTTGATCCACAGCACCACTTTCATCTTTTTCTGCTTATGTCGTGCTGAGGAATGAAATCCAGGACCTCATGCATGCAAGGCAAGCACTCTACTACTGAGTCACCTTTCCAGCTCCTGAGAAACTGTGATTTAAAAAATCATCTGAACAATATTTGCTTTCTGCTTTTGGGTATATAATGAAATATGTGAACACATTTTTATATTTTTGTGAACTGTCATACTTCTAAATTTATACTAACTGCAGAAAATTTATCCTTTTCAAAGTCAAGAAATATTTCTGAGAGTTTGCTTCTGTGAAGAATGTTTTTGCATTTATAATTTCTTCTGAGCCATTTTTATTTATTATCAAAATCACTTTATTTTTTATGTTGATAAGTTATCATATATCAAATACCTTCAAAAGTACATGTAGTGTCTCAAGATAGCAGTATGAATATTCTCATACACCTCTTGTTTATCTGTTATGCACGTTAATATTATGATATTTTTCTCTCTTTCACTCTCTCTCATTTCTGCTCTTTCTCTTTCATGCTCCATGTCTGCTACTTAGAATTTCTGCTGGTCTACTATTATCCTTCAGGATCCACTGGTTTTGTGGGAACATGATAGGGACCATCAGTTACCCTTGCATTCTTTAAGAGTTATAACAGTGACTTGAAATTATTCTTTGCCATTCTAAATGGCAAAACAACAGATCTAGGAATTCCTTTTCACTTTTAGTACTATTATAACTTTTATCTCATATGAATAATTGGGACTGATATTATACTTTTAGCCTGGGACCTAATGTTCTTTTTCTTTTACAAACAACCTTTTTCTTTTATTATCAGTAAGTAACAAAAACAAAGCTATCCTATGGGAAAGTGGCTGAAGTTGTTCACAGGGATGAAAAACAAGTTAATGGGGGAAGTGAGTACAAAGGATACCCTTCATATAGCACAGATCCTTAGAGTAGTTTATCATGTACATTTTGTGATAAGGACAACGTGGTGGGAACTCTAGATTAAATCACTGAACACCTGATATATATATGCACATATATTTATATATGTATATTTATTTATATATGCATATATGTGTATATCGGCCCATATATGTACACATGAATGTTACTGTACACACAAATACACACATACGTACACACATGTACACATGCACAAATGGAAAAAGACACATAGATATAGCCAACACAAGTTTCACTAGTTGTTGAATATGCCTTAGACAGAATGCTTGGAAAAAAATGTGTTGAAGATGTATTCATCTCTAAGAGTTCTTTTACCACTCCTCTTATCTCTTCCAACTGGTAGGTTTAGAGAGATTCGACTTGAAAAGTGCAGTACAAGTGATAGCAAGTCACTTGGAAATCTCAATAAGTATTGCTCATATGGTGTCTCCCTGCTCCCCATGGAATGCTTGCTCTTGTAGACACTCTCAACATCCAAAGTAGTAGGACAATATCCTTGTTAAGAATAAAGTTATAAGGCTTTAAATGGCATCCTTCCTTGGGCTCTTTTCCAAAAGCGAGCATCAATTCCTAAGCAGATGAGTGACTCCCCAGAAGACTGGAACGCAGGTCAAAATTTAACCAACCCATATGAAAAGTCTAAAGTGAGCAGTTCTGACTGAGGTCATACAGATGTCCTGGCCACGAATATGAGAAAAAAAGAAAGTTTTTTATGTATTAAAATTTGAGAATAATTTGTAACTTGTCAATAAATGTGTAGAACACAATTATACCAACTGACAAAAGATGATGTGCATTTCATTTATTTGCTTTTAGACTTGGAAAGTGTTTTTAAGTGTGTCTACACAAGTAGAATCAGCAGAAACAAGCCAGCATTTCTTCATTTAAGATGCAAGGAAAGGATACAGGTTGACCCATTGTAACAATGAGATTTGAAAGATACTATTAGAGGGGGGTAGACGGAGGTGTTTGGGATGTGTGAAGGTAAGGAATAGTAGGAGAAAACAAAGGAGGTGGTAACAATGCTCAATAAGAAATGTACGCATTACCTTACTTATGTAACTATAACATCTCTGTACAGTACTGAGCTTCTTCAGTAAAAGTGCTGGCAAAATTGGTTAATCACTCATAGAAAACTAAAACTATATCCTTATATATCATCCTGTACTGAATCAACTCCAAATGTATCAAAGACCTCAGAGTCAAAGCAGACACCCTGAAAACATTACAGGATGGAGTAGGACATACCCAAGGTCTCCTGTGCAGAGGATGAAATTTTCTTAATAGAGACCCAGAAGCACAAGAAATCAAAGAAAGTTTGGACAAATGGTATTGTATGAAATTGCAGAGCTTCTGCATGGCAAAGGACACAGCTAGCAAGATCAATAGAAAGCCCATTGATTGGGAGAAGATCTTCACTAGCCATACAATAGAGAAGGATCTCATATCTAAAATATACTTGGAACTCAAAACATTAAATCCCCCAATAACAAATCCTCAAAGACACAACTGCCCAATAAATAAGTGGGCTAAAGAATTCAAGGCAATCTTCTTTGAAAAGAAAAGAAGGAAGGCCAATAGACACATGAAGAAATGCTCAACCTCCCAAGCCATAAAAGAAAAGCAAATCAAAACAACATTGAGATACCACCTTACCCCA